TATTTTACGTTATGACATAAAAAATTTTCGGGAATTAAAATTATGTACGTAATTGTAATTCCCGAATTTTACTTATGTACGCAATTTTAATACTTGAATTTCTATTATGTACGCACAATCGTAAATCTGGAATTACTTTTTTTCTTTTGGTAAGTAACGGGGTTCTTTAAAAAGAATATTTTCTTGATAATAATCTTAAAATGCATTCATCACAAATTTTAGAAAAAGTCTTTATCATGTACTGGAAAAAAGAATTTATACTTCTTCAAAAAACATTATACTATTTTATCAAAGAAAAGTCAAAATAATAAGCAAAAAATAAGAAAACCAATTACTCCATTTCCCTTCTTTTAACGGTCATCTTCGCAAAGAATATTTCATTTTTATAATAATCTTAAAATACACTCATCACTCTCTTTACTTGAAACAAATAATATTCTAAATTTTAATTGTTTAACTATTCAATTAAAAATATAAAATTAAAACAAAAATTCAATTTGCTTATTATTTTGACTTTTCTTTGATAAAATAGCATAATGTTTTTTGAAGGAGTATAAATTCTTTTTTCTAGTACATGATAAAGACTTTTTCTAAAATTTGTGATGAATACATTTTAAGATTATTATCAAGAAAATATTCTTTCTTAAAGAACCCCGTTACTTACCAAAAGAAGAAAAGTAATTCCAGAATTACGATTGTGCGTACATAATAGAAATTCAAGTATTAAAATTGCGTACATAAGTAAAATTCGGGAATTACGTACATAATTTTAATTCCCGAAAATTTTTTATGTCATAAGTAAAATAAATTCAGAATTAATATTTTGTCTAGACGTAATTGTAATTCTGCATTTTCAATTATAGCTTAATAATAATTCGATAAATTATAAGTATGTCTAGACATAATAATAATTTCTTTTCTTTGAGTATCGATTTAATTTGATAGAATTTTTATGATGATATTAAATAGTAAAATGGCGTGCCGTATACGCACACGTAAAAAAATATCATTCTAGTGCTAAGAAAACCAATTACTCAATTTTCTCTTTTTTTAAGTAACGATGATTTTTATAAAAAATGTTTTCTTGATAATATTACTTAAAATAAATAATAATCTAAATTCTAATTATTCAGTTCTTTAGTTAAGAATATAAAATTAAAACAAAAATTCAATTTGCTAATTATTTTGATAGGAGAAGTCAAGGCTATGAGGGTCAGACGCAGATCACAGTGCGTAATATTAGAAATAACTGATTTATTCGTCGTTTTGATACATTACATCGATCCGTACGTTTCGGCTCAGCTTTGAGCCATCTTCAGCAGCAGTTACAGAAGTCAAGTTACACGTTCTCCGTACCGTATGGTAAGTTTACTGATTCAAAGTATCAGAAACATAGACCAATTGATCCATATCTGTAAATTTGTTCAATTAATGTTGAGATATTAAAAAGATCCCTTAGGAAACTCATCATTCGGTCTGAAAAACATGGAATACAGAGCCATGCGTACATAATGAATATCTACTCTCTGCGAGAAGACTTGACGATTTTGTCGACACGACACACAATAATATGAAAGGTCTTGCAAGAAGAGGCATGTCGTAGGTCAACACACCGGCGAGGATTATAACAAAGCACGATTTGACACCGTCACAATATTGCATGTACCAATAGTAAAACCCCGATTTGCCAACGACCAAAGTTCATGAGCATGGATTACAATTTGCTCAAAACCGTGACATATGCATGATGCAAAAAATCCGTGTCATTTTGAGACGGTGTCAAATCGTGCTTTGTTATAATCCTCGCCGGTGTGTTGACCTACGACATGCCTCTTCTTGCAAGACTTCTCGCAGAGAGTATTTATTATGTATAAATAGCTCTGTATTCCACGTTTTTCAGACCGAATGGTGAGTTTCCTAAGGGATCTTTTTAATATCTCAACATTAATTGAACAAATTTACAGATATGGATCAATTGGTCTATGTTTCTGATACTTTGAATCAGTAAACTCATCATACGGTACGGAGAACGTGTAACTTAATTTCTGTAACTACCGCTCAAGATGGCTCAAAACTGAGCCGAAACGTACGGATCGATGTAATGTATCAAAACGACGAATAAATCACTTATTTCTGATATTACGCACTGTGATCTGAGTCTGACTTTCATAGCCTTCTCCTATTTTAATCTCGAGGGTCCTCATATTACTTTATTTATTATTTTGACTTTTCTTTGATAAAATTTTATTATGTTCTTTGAAGGAGTATAAATTCTTCTTTCGAGTACATAGCACATGATAAAGACTCTTTCTAAAATTTGTACATTTTAAGACTATTATCAAGAAAATATTCTTTCTTAAAGACAACCGTTACTTACTAAAAAAAAAAAAAAGTAAATTGAGTAATCGCTTTTTTAAGCAGCACAATTGATATTTTTCTGTATGCATGTACACACGTATGTACATACGTACGCACAAAAAAATGTTCTATGTTGTTAGAAAATTTTATTTCTATTTAAAAAAAAGGAGAGAAACTATCATCGCTTAGGACAGGGGCCCGGCGTTACGCGCCGCTCGTGCGTAATCATCGCCGCTTGTAGTAAACAACTGCCCGCGCGCCGACCGCGGGGCGGCCGCATCTCGCCGCGCGCTTGGATTTGGCGGAGGGCGGGCTAATACGGCGATTTTTAATCATTAATAACTCGTCAACTATTGCGAAAATTGCAAAATGGTACATGACTTTTCGACTCAGTTTGGCTCGCTCTATCTAAATATGAAAAAAGTACCAAGAATTCAGGGGCACCCTGTATATCCTGCAACGATATTGTAATACTAAGATATATATTTTCTAATGATTACCTGCTCCGGGACCACATCGCAGAATTTTGAAATTTTTTCTTTGACGGAATTGCCAATGGGGTTTTCCGACCTACAGACTATAAGATCGGGCGACAAACCTAATCCTCGTAGCTCTCTGACACTAGATTGCGTCGGCTTGGTCTTGTGTTCACCCGTCGATTTTGGCTAAAAGATATTCATATCTCTATAACACTGATTGGTAACACTAACCACAGATGCGGATTGGATTTCTCGAGTCAATTTCCTGTAAAAATTTTTGGCCGCTGAATTCGATTGTCGAGCTTCTACAGCCGAACCTGGTACGTTTAATATATTTACTTGAGCAGCCAGTTGATAAATGTCGGTTCGCAATGGAACTCTACAAATTGGATTTTCTGCATCCGGCGTAATACGAATTCCGGCCAACTATATAATATAATACCAAAATAAATTATAAGTTTAAATATTAAATCTTTAATAAGGAAATTATACAAGAACAAAATGGTTTACAACCTGAAGCATCAATAAATCGTGTTACAATTTATTCGTATCAGTCGGCATCATGAGACGAAAACCTTTGAATTCCCAATGTATATCAATGGCAACGATTCATTATTTAAGGGGATGCTGGAGCCGTTTGTTTTACCGGCATTTTTTGTCGGCACGTAGCGTCGTATTAATTTGACAGAATTAAAAATCTTTCTCCAGAATTGCAGTACATACATTAATGATTTGGGGGAACTCCGATTTTATATAGAAAACGAGAAAAAATTACGGAAGTACAGATTTCCTTATCCTACTTTTATCCCAATATGGCGTCTCGAATTGCGGCGAGCTGTCAGCTCGTCACAAGATGTATTTCATATAAGAGATATACCATTGGTACGAACGCGAAAACAAGTTCCCCCGAATTGCACAACAAGAAAAACATCGATAAACCCTCCAAATCAAGATTTGGAAGCGTAATATAAAAGTATAATGTCGATGTGCATCGTGCGTATGTGTGCGTGCAATGTAGCGTGCTATCCTTGTCTATATAAGGACAGATATAGTCGATAACATAGAAAATGGTAATTTTGTCGGTTATACAGACGGCTCCAGCATCACCTTAAGTGCATCTTATGAAAAAGCTGTACATACATACATATGATGATTTTTTACGATTTTTAGATAAAGTATAAGTAGATAGTATAAATAGATTTACTTGCCTTTTTTTGTTTCGTTCCATTTCTAATTTCTGAAGATCATTCCTACGTACGAGATTACTTTGTTCCCGTGGGAACGATTTGCTAAATCAATATGAATTTCAACGGAAACTTAAAATTCATTAAATTAGAAAGACTTTGCGATTTGAACGATTTAACGTAACGCTCACTATCGAAAGCAAAAGAAAGAAGAAAACGGTACGAACAGTAACGTAAATGAAGCATCGGGTTATTTTTAACAAACTCATTTATTAAAGTACTAAAAAGGGTGGAAACGAACAAAATCGAAAAGTTGCACATATAAATATCAAGTAGTAAGAGTAGAAGAATAATATATTACGAACTATATATATATCGCGCGCGCGGGATGCGACGGGGAGGGGCAAAAGAGACGAGGGGGTGGCGATTGTGCCTTTTGGCTCGCTGATTCTATATACTCGAGACGTCGTAAAATATATACATATATATCTCTCTCGTTTCTCTGCGTCTTTTTTTTCTTTTTTTTTTCCTTGCGGGAGCGTTCGTCGAGGAATCGAGGATGGGAGGTGAGAGCTCGAAACGGTTCGGAGCGATAAATCTTCGTTAAATCGACACTAAATCTTCGTGACTGTAATTACGAAATGACGACTTTATGATTCGTCCGTTTTGACATACGCGAACTCGCGAGAGTTACATCTTATCGCTCCGAGCCCTTCGCTGGATTGCACGCACACGATTGTGTGAACCGAGAATTTACATCTCTCGCCGCCGGATTTGAAGTCGCGTTCGGGATCGGGCGAAAGCAAACAGGACACCGTGATATATCCATGAAAGAATTGATCTATTTTATAGCATTTCATTTCGAGAAAAGAAAAGAAAAGGTGACTCTTATAATTATAACAAACACGTCGTCAAATACGAAGTAGATCTTTTTTTTTCTCTTTTCATACATTTTCGCCTATTCGCGGCGTCTGCCTGTGGAGAGCCTGCGGAATTATTTAAATCCTCTCCACCTCTACCGTTTCCCATCTCCTTTCTTCTTTTGTTTTATCGTCGTTTTGAACATCATTTAGTCGTTATTTTTTTTTTATTATACTTTCCCGAATACTCTATACCCTTTCTCTCTCTATCTCCCTTTCCTTTCGGTCAGTATTCTCTCTTTTCTTTCCCCTTATTCCTTCCTCCCTCTCTCTCTCTCTCTCTCTCTCTCTCTCTTCCTCTTTCCTACAATATATATTTATGTATATATATATATTTATTTATATAAATATACACATATATATATCTTTAGCGGGTTTCGTCGCGCGTTTTTCTTTTAATACAAAACATAAAAATCATCGTCGTCGTCGTCGTCGTCGTCGTCGTCGTCATCGTCGTTGTCATCATCATCGCGTCGTATGAGATCTCAACGGATTCTCCCCCCCTGTGAAACACAGCACGGACAGACCGACCGACAGACAGACAGACAGACAAGGAGACAGATTAAGACAAGATTACACAGACAAACGGTGGACTACATTGTCGACAGTCGTGGCTTCTTCTTTTCTCTTCTTTCTCCCTCTCTTTTTCATTTTCTCTACTTTCGCAAAATTTTGCACACGCACACCGTACGCGAACTTCTTTTTCGTCATCTATTTCGCATCCCTCGTCATTTTTCCTTCCTTTCTCTCTCTCACGTTCTCCCTTTCGCTTTTGCTCTGTTATTTTTCTCTCACACACACTCGCAAATTCGCACACATACGATCGCGCGCATACGTTTGCACAAGATTCGCGTAATAAGCACGCTCACACCGAAATTTCTCTCCTCTATGTTTCTTTTTCTCTCCTCTATGTTTCTCTTCGTCGTCGATGTAGCTCCTTTTCTCCGCTTTGAACACTTTTTTGGGGAGGTGGGTGTCAGACTCTACCATTTTCTCTCTTTCCGCTAACGATTATTATACAAAATAATTAGAAAAATGTACAAAAATTCATAAAAATAGTAATAGTTACATAGTACAAGTTACTTTTGGGTAATTATAATAATATGTACGTGTGTCTATGTGTGAGTGTACGTGTGTAAGTGTGACCGAGAAACGAGCATGAAAGTACGACTCTACTGATAAAATCGTTCCAACGAGATGAGTCGGAACGCATCGTCGCGAACAATTTTCCGAAGAAGAGGATCTGTTTTTTCCCCCCGCAGAAAATTATTCCGACGGGATATCGCGCGCGCGCGCGCGCCAATAATTAATAAATATCAATGTCGTTGCCTACGTACGTACATGCGTACGCGGGACGTCCCGTTATCGCCGGCTATTCAGTTAACGACCAGGTGCAGCCTCACGCTCTAAACACAAAAATCAGATTTCTAACAACACGATAATAATAATTCGTCTAACCGGCCACATTGTGTTAACGTATAGCGTTAACAGGTGAGGCTGAAAAGATTAACGCTGGCGATAACGCTTTCAAGGAATAAAGATAATTTTCAAGTTTTTTGGAGGCTGGCCGAGCAGCCTGATCCGCTTCCCAGAAAGAATCTGTCGTTAACGAGGCATCAACGCGTCAACGGCCCGTCCCGCGCCAACGCACTTGACAACAGTGTTCTCTCTTCCGTTCGTCCGTTATTCGCGTTTTCCTTTCTAGTCGCTCTCGCACACACTCTCCCTTTCACGCGTGCTGCCTCTCGTCGTAGGTCTATACATTTATATGTACATACACATTTATAATATACTATGTCAGCGCAAAGACGATTTCTGCCCCGCTGCATCCGCACCGTGGTCACGTGCGGCAGCTGCAGTTAAGGAAGAGCAGAAAAGAACTTGAAAATTCGAACTCTGGATAATCGTTTACGCGTTGTATATATATAATATATATATCCGATCCGGGGTAAAATTACGCATATATAATTCCAAAAATTAATAAAGATCTAACGGTGCTCTCTCGCGGCGAGCGGCCGCGAGAGAAAAGATCGACGGGCAACCCGACTCGATAACCTCGCGAGCAATCACGTTGAAATTCTCGGTAAAAATATTCACCCTTGATTGCCGCAGCAGGAAAAACTTATCCTACGCGAAACCGCACGCATCACGGCCCTCCCTCTCGCATATATGCCCGATATACCTTAACGTTATTAATGCCACAATATATATTCACCGCGCGATTCCAGATCAACGGGCTCGCGTTCGCAGGGAGTCCTCGCCCGTTTAACGCCATCAGATACTTCGCGCTTCGGATTTTATTTATCTAATAAAAACAAGAAGAGAGAAAAACGAGAAAAGTTGGAGATTGCGCGTACGTGAGCCGCGGGACAGAGATCGCGTTTATTGTTATAGCGCTAAACGTGCGTGGACTCTCGGGATCGGTGGAGTTCATCGGCTGTCGCCACAAACGGCGTGCATGATCATCGGATGTGGAGCCGTTATCGCGACCCCTCGTTAAAAACAAACGTTCGTTAAATACGCACGCTCGAAAACGCCGGAGAAGAATTCCGGGCGGTCGAATTCTATCGGTTCCGATTATCCCCCCGTCTGAATTGACAGTGAAGGAATTTTCGGAGTCGATATATCGCGTCTCGTGTAAAACTCGGCGAACGCTCAAGCTGTTAAAAAAAAGGACTGTTTAGTCTCGATGGCAATTTTCATCTTGGATCGTCTTGAGCGTCGGCGTTCGCCGGGTACAGTACGAGAAGCTGTACCCCCTCGTGGGGATGGGTCGTCGCAGCGACTCCACATTTCTCGCACACGGAGCCGCGCACACGCATTTCTCGACATTTACACGCAATTAAATCGCAGCGGCGAACACGTGCACACAGTACGCATTGCACAGTATCATTGCGCGTTACTTTCGCACCTATCCCGGGAACGTACCTCTGTATATAGTTCTACGCTCCAGACGCTCGCGCCCCTTTGGGGATACCTTTCTCGCCCCCCTTTCTCTCGCATACACGTACGCGCGACAACACACCCAGGCACACGTCACACACACACACACACATACACACATACACACCGAACGTCCCTCGCTCTCTCGGCTAAATATATTTATAACAATATTCTGCGACCAAAAAATAAACTCTATTATGTGTTACGCGCTAATTAAGCTACGATTATCGATCGATCACGGCTATGTTTTACATTTACGAAGGTTCCGTCGACTCCGGATAGAGATAACATATTGCGTGGGTTCCTCGGTTCGTTGGCCTGGTGCGGTGGCTCTCGTAGGATACTTTGAGTTTCCCCTCTCTCTCTCTTTCATCTTTTTTTACTCGTTTTCTATTTTCATTTCCTATCGGCTTCCTCTGAACGAGACTCGGGCGACCGTTTTCGAAGGGAAGGAAGAAGAGTGAGGAGCCGCTATCGAAGCGACACGTGAGACTCGTCTCCTTCGTCCTTCGTGATCCGACTGTGTGTAAAAAAAAAAATATCGGAACGCCCGTCGCTCGAGAATGCAACCCCTTGACCCCTCTTATAGATTGCATTCTCCCTCTTCCGACTCCTTCCGTGTTCCGTGCC